AAGCTTATATACCGTGCAGGGTGAATAACGGTCGAGGAATTTCCTCGACCATAGCTCTCTACCATGCGAGAGTAGTGCCGAGAGTGAACATCCGCGCGGAGAGCACAGACGGCACGCCATGGCGAGTGTGAATGTCCGCGCGAGAGATCGTGTCTGATCGGGCAGAGAATCCTCGACGTGCCGTTGAGGAATCCTCAAGCGATATTCACCCTGCCGTAAAGAAGAGAATTGACTGCAGAAAACTGTATTGCCGTTAAACACTTTGTAGGATTTTCAAATTTTAAGGCCTGCCAAATACGGTCCGGTCCGGTTGACGAAAAATAGGCAAACCGATAACTAGCCCTGACTCTATCGAAATCTTTCGTGAAGTATTGTGGTCATTTTTGTGGACTGAACACCTTATAATGCACCTAAAAATTCGACCTAATTCACAACAAACATAAAAACAAAACAAATGAGCGAATAGAGCAGAAGAAGTGCTCACAAAAGATACACCACTGATATAAAACAATAGCGTTTCAGAGGAAGAATTTCAGTTGAAAATTCGCCATGGCTCTTCGATCAAATTGAAAAATCAAATTCGAAAGGAAATACGGCAGGGTTTTCTCGATAACTTAAAGGCAAACCCCGGGATTAGCCCGACTAGTAGGAGGGATACCACGAGGGAAATTGTAAGGTCCGTACCTACCTAGATCACTCCAGCTTCGTCGCAAAAATTGCGCGGTTAGGGCGCTAATCCTTACGGGCCTGCAACCATCGACCCCGTTCCAACGCTTCCCACCCACCGCGAGAGGTGGTGAGATCAGCGTGCATTGATGTAGAGATCAGCGTGCTCTCTCAAACGACGTGCTCTCTCGCGTATTTTGTCTTCTTTGACCGCCCTTTCTCGCCATCGTACCACATCTACCCTACTGAAGGTTAAGGCCTTAATTGCAGCGTTCCCAAGATTTCTCTTGCTTTGCTTTCCTCAGCTAAGCTATCACCACAAAGCGCTGGTAGCACCTGTTTAATCCCGGAGTTTGCCTTTAATAGAGGAATGCCTAGAAGAGGTCAATGAGTACAAGCCACATCATTAATTGATTTCTCTTACGGAGAATGCATCCAATGCGGTGCAAAATCATAGGACAAAAATGTGGATATCTGGGCTTCTAGAAAACTTCGTTCATCGCAACATCTAGAGTCAATCGCCTCTATAGAAAATCTATATTCACAAGTTGACAAAAAGCCAGACTTTGTTACTATATGCACCTGATGGCTCTACCAGAAGCATCGAAGCCGTTTTCAGGAGATAAAGGAAAACCGTAGTACTCCAAATTATTACCACTAATGGAAATAAGAGAGCAGAAGAGGAATTCACAATACCTCCTCAGAAGTTGTCGAATTTATCTGAAGCTATTCTACAGAAATCTCAAATGAAGCTTTTACGTTTACTTATTCCGCCGTTTTTATGCGCAAAGGCCCATCCTCCACGAGATATTAAGGGAGAGGGAGAAAGCGGTAGATAGTGGAGGTGGCTTTGCAGCGCATGGTTCCCTTGAAAAAGTAGGATGTTAGCACAAAAAAGTTTGGCGAAACGGAAGTGAAAAATAATAGAAAAACATGAGGTGGAGTTATAATTTTGGGACGTTGGCCAAGTGGCCTTTTGAACAAAAATTATTAGAAAAAATTCCTGGGATTTCAAGTTGGAAGTTGATGTTTACAGGCGATTTCGTACCTGTATTTACCACACTGCCACATTGGAGTCTTTTTCTAAAACATCCTAAATTTGTGAGATTTTGGGAAATTCTTGGTGGAGTTATAATTATGGGACGCAGTGTAGTCGTTGAAAATTGTGCCACTGCACCGAAAAAGTACCTTTCGCCGGTGCCAGGCAAAAATCCGTCGACGTGGGCATTTTTTTTAAAATAGCTGTGGTGTAGCTGCTTTGAAAACCGTTCGATAGAGCAAATCTTCTAGTTTATGACGACTTATTAACTTTTCAGATTTGAGGAAAGTGAAGCAAGTTATGACTTCGGAAAGTGTAAAAACTCGCGCTCGTTATGAATTTTCCTCGTTAGTTGATCAAATTTGTTATTCCTTATGTTTTTTTGTAATTTTAACATGGTTATAAAAATCTCTCTACAAAACTGTCAAATCTGCTTTCAGATTGAAAATTCGTCATATTTCAATGAAAGTTATAAATCATTTTCAATATGGAGTTCCAAATTTAATAGTAGACAAGCCTCGCTCACAGGCCAGCCGACAAAGATCAGTTCGATACCCCAGCTAACAGAAAAGCCCAGCGTCGCCCAATGGTCACTTAAGAAAAAATTGTATACACCACTCAGATGTGGCCTTGAAGCGCTGATCTCCAAATCTACTTCCCGATTGCCTAAAACGATCTTTGAATAGAGTTAGAAGCAAAACAGTGCAATCGGCAAATGGTTTAGAACCCACTCACAAAACGTCCTCATGATCGGTCCCTGAATTGGCGTTTACTGTCCACGCCGATTCAAAAGGTTACGCTAAACAGTGCTATCAAAGCATTAAGCTCGTACCCCTGAAAAGCAAACGACACAGTTACGCAAATCCATTGGCGATCGATCCTACGACGTTCTGACTACAAAGCCCGACCACTTCCCTTGCACTGTTCTGCTTCATAACTTCACCCAAAGAATCGTTTAGCAGATTTGGAAGGTAGATCCGAGATCAACGTTCGAAAAGCACATTTAGCGCTATACATCACTTCTTGAATGGCCATGGTGACCTGAGAGCCTTTCCATGTAAGGTCGCTTGCGAGGCTTTTTTCAACTGAAAGGAGGACGTGTAAATTGAGAACTTTACCCTCTGTAGTACTAAAATTTTGGCGAATCTTGCGAAGGAAATAACTAAAGATTAGATGTCATAGTATGCCATTTATGACCAGTTTGCTCCGTTCTTCTATGCTCACCTTTTCCTCAGTTTGCTCGTTTCGTAGAAGGTAATGATCATTCTCTCGAGGTTTTGCACGTTTTGTGGCTCTTAACGGATTTTTATGTAGAGCCGGTTGCTAGGCTAATTCAGGGCTTTTTATCGTGACAGTTTTTCAGTGGAGACAATTATAACCAATATTTTCGTAAATTTGGCTGTGTGAAGAGGCTTGTGAAGAGGGTTGTTCCATGGAGTTGTGCTTCTGGAGAAGGTGGGAGCGGGGTCGTACTTCCAAATTTTCCTTGACGCCTCGATTGACTGTGGTTGGAGGCACGTTCTACGATGAATGTGTGCCACCGAGAAGGCTCTGATTAGATGGCCTACCAAAACAGGACAAGAACGATTACCTCTACATTATCCCGCCTCTTCCCTTTGCTCCCGTTAATTTGAGATTCTGTGAGATTCTCTGTGAGATTTCCCTCGGAATTTTCATGGCTATCATATAATAAAATGTCGTCTCTGAAACTTGTTGACTGGCGGACCAAACAGCCTAACAACTGAGCATGATATACAAAGGTTTCTTTTTCATATGATCGCAAACTGATCTTGTATCTTGAAAATGGCTTTTCAGTCGTGTAATGCTTCTACGTTTGTCGACGTAGTAGGGTGAAAACGTTCTGTGTTACGAAATTTCAGAGAAAATTGCATGGAATCGTTTTATGCAGGTTTTGCAAACAAAGACATAATCTAGTAAAAATAGCAGACAGAAAAAGGCCGTTGATGAGGCAGCAAAAACTTCGTATGCCAGGGTTGTCCGGGAAGAAGCACAAAACACGCATTAACACAACAGTAGTGCCTTTCGTATGGATATGATTGCATCCATACCTGCACCCCACTAGGAAGCTTCTCGATCTAAATAATATCAATATTTAGCAACAGTCACGATACCGTTAACCCAAAGGTAAAATTAAGTATACACAGCCAAGAGTGAAGAAACCAACGCTTCTTCCCGCCGCCTGCTGCATTGTTGAGCGGCCGGCAGATTTAAGCGACTATTGGATATAATCGTCTCATGCATGCTGGTTCAGATTGGTTTCGAGTAATCCATTGACCCAATGCGCCTCAAAATCTCAAACCTAACGACACAAATCAGTGCGCAAAATGCGATGCATGCCTCCTCAATCTGATCATGAGAATGGGCAACGTCATGTAAAGCATGGCCAACTATTAAACCTCGAAGTACACAGGAACAGACTACTGTCGTCCGATCTCATAATTCCTGTCGCAATTTCGACACTTTTGTTTATTCAAGTTTTATCTCTTCTGGGAAACAACTGACTAATAGCATAACCACCATCATGGTCACTGATATGCGTGCATTTACTAGTGGGCGTTTGGAAGCTTCCAGCCCAGAATGAAGGAAACTGGGGGTTGAAGAATTTATGGAGAAGTCGTTTTTGGGGTGACCGCAATCTTTAACTTTCTTCTCTGGCAGATGCTTATTCAAAGCGCAGGGGAGGCGATAGTCCGATAGAGCGATGCCAATGCTATATGGTGGATGAGGTATCGTGGCCCTGGCTATCTCCCCAGAACGTGGTGAGTTGGCATTGCAATGTGAGGTCTGGCGTACATTCGGAGAAAGGAGAATCTGAGACGTTTCTGACGATTCTCTCGCAACCCCAAAGCCAGCCAAGAGGGCTATTCCGCGCTGACTTTAGCAATGCTTGAATCCAATAACGAGATCGATATTCTCAGAAAACGGAGTTCGGGCTTTGGTTGAGCTGGTGCTTCCTGGCTGCGAGGCAGCCATAAGACGTGCCGCATGTTGTTGTCGCAGTGGACTCATGACTCATTTCCACCGGTGACCGATTAGGGAAGACTCTGCTTTTGCCATCCAAGAATGGGTTTTCCCCAGGTGATCAGGCGTGCTTCCCGCTCATGGTCGGCCGGACCATAAGGTTTCCATCAAAACTTCATTCTGCAGCAGTCCTTGCCATACTGATGGCGTGTGCTGGTGCATCGGCTGCGCTCAGGTATCTGCTACAATACCCTGGTAGCAACGTGCGGAGGCACTCCCAATTTAGGGTGCAAGGGGCGCTCATCAAAAATGACCGCAGGCCCAGTATGAGGTTGAAGTTCATAGCTCGTTTCGTCTTTGCCGTTGCGATTGGTCCACTAGCTCAGTACCCTATCAGTAGCAGAGACTGAGTCAAACACAGCGCTGATCTTCTCTGTTGTCCTCCTTGCTACAGAGTTCATTTGAGGATCGTAAAGCATAATCATTGATTGCAGTCACTGACCTATTTTTATTACTAGTTGATTAACCCGTTAAGGGCTTGCGCTTCCGAAACCACGCTGTTAAGGCACTTGAAGCATACTTCAACATACTAACGTATTTCGCAATGAAACGGTCTTAGACGGAAGGAATTTGAAATTGAATAGAAATGCGACAGGAATTATGAGACAACCCAATAAATGCAGTTACACTTTAAGCAGTGAAGCGACTGATGTCATCTCAACGCATTCGGAAGACTTACACCTTACAGCGTTTCATTTAACAACTCACCTCACTCCTGTAAATACCGTAAGGGAGGAGGGTGTAAAATAATTTATCCGCCATTGTCAGATTATTCCAGAGCGGATATTCCCTTAAAAACACTTTTTGTTTGCGAGAACATGAAATGGTAATCTTTTGAACCCACTGAATGGTAGTGCGCATGATATTGGGATGCCTTAAGGTCCCACGTCCTTTCATTATTCTTGTATAAGCCTGACTCGATATGGTCCTATTCCACTCCTGTAGGCAAAACTTGCTATTAGGTTGATTCTGTGAAGAATTTAATCTTTGAACTCATGCTGTGGGAAATTGCTGCCTAAACACTGCTCTCCACTTGGGTATAACAAAAAATGACTGACCATGCATCTATTAAAACGAGAGAAAAACTCTTTATAAATGTTTTCCAGGTACGTGGGCATAGGCCATGGTCGAACTGAAAAGTAAAAAAAAATTCGCATAACTAATCTAAGGGAGTCTTTGCGGACATAAATAAATGTCAGATAAGTGCTATACAAATGCTGCACTTACCTTTGACAGCGACATTGGCCATCACAAAGAGGACCGCGGGGAGAACGAGAAACATTTTGTGACAAGTGTGGGAGCTTAGCCCATCCCTTTATATTGCCTTCATATTAATGATTTGAAAATGTTTTTGAGCAGTATTGTTGAAATTTGCCCTTAACGCACCCGCGACGTCAGAGGTGTGGCTCCGCCCTTCACGCCGCTAATGGGTCCCGGCCCTTTCCGCTTCTGTGTTTAAACAAAATGTGAAGAGGCGCTTCTAGCATAAAATATTAAGCATCTGGAACCGTACACAAATATACAGGAGGTCTGCTTATCTTGGTGAATCGGCCATCACAAACTAAACGTGGTGCACGCTAGACGAGCCAGATTGTCGAGCCATTATGTCCTCCTTTTTATCGTAAGGAACGGTGAAGCCCTCAAATAGAAGCCCTTCCAAGACAATTCGAGGCCTCTGAACAAATGTTTGGAAGAAGAACAGTATTCTGTGCTACCTCGCATCATAGGAGGTATTCTTCAATCATTCCAAGCTGCCGAACGTGAGGATACGAGAGAAAAATGAATACTTCTTCCAGGCATGAAAGTTTTCAGGCCTGTGTCAAAACTTGGACTTTGATAGCAACCTTTCTGTGCTCTGTACTTTAGAAGTCTTGTCGCTATTAGTTGAAATAAACCGATGAGTCGTATGGAAACGTCGCTATCAAGTAATTTTACAAAGATTTGCCCTTAGAACAGAGTTCTGATGCGTTTGTTTTCAATAACATCTGGTTCACAATTGCTACGTGACATAGCTACTGTTCCATTTCATTGCGACCGTTTGCGAACTCTTTTTGGGCAAATATCCCTCTGTTGATTCTCCACTCTTTCAGAGGGGCAATCAAAGTACCAGTCATAGCGTGCGGAGGAGTCGGAATGAGTAGAGAAGCTGTCCATTGCCGATCTCGAGTTAGACAGCACGAGCTTATGTGTGGCGTTCCGAAAACAAGAAGCACCAATGAATCAGGCTTACCACAACTCTTCTTTTTGACCATTCAAAGGCAGTGATTACGAAAGGTTCTAGAGTTTAGCGAAGTTTACAGGGGTTGTGGGAGTGCTCCATGGTACATCAGTGGCCAAAAAAGCAGAAAAGCCTATCAGGAGAATGCAAAACGGGACCAACTCATTCGGCCGTTGAATTTCGCCAGCGGACGGGCAGCCGCTCAGACAGCGTACGAATATACGAGCATATGCAACGCGCTCGGTGGAACTATGTCAAACCATGTCCCAGAAAAGTTGCTCCACTTGTGTTGCTGCTGGCAACGCAGCTCGTCCAAATCACCAACTAAACTAGTGGGCGGATCGCTTTTGGGGGCGGAGTGCTTTCGAAGTCCTGCTCAGCAACCAGCGCACCTTTCGTCGTGAAAGCGCTACACCTCGCTTCCTTGGCAGCCAAGTAACTGCTTTGTGTGGCGCAACCTCAACGATGCGCTCCCTCATTATCGTAATCGCTTCCTTTAAGGAAAAGCAAGAACCACAGTCCAATTCAGAAGCTGCGCCGCTGTAGCATCAAAACCTCTCGACGACTGCTCTGATTAGAAAGCAAATCACCCCTTCATTGCAGTCAAAGGCAAATATAATCGCAGACTTCAGAAGCTACAGCGAGAGAATCGACTATCTTTGAATCGAATTCGTACGGGGATGATTTCGCGTAGCTCTGTTTTCCGCGAAACGTCGGATTTCTGGTAGGATCAGTTCCAGGTGGTAAACCTCTATGGAGGTCTTGACTCGTGCATACACAGATAGCGTGCAGAATAGACATGCACTTGATGTTGAAATATGTTAATTATAATGAATGTGAAAAAGGTCTCCTGAAAAGTGCGCAGAGATAAGCATTCATACAACTCTGTGATCAGTGGCGCATTTAGGGAATTTGGTACACTGAAAATTGAAAAACAAAAAGCAGAAACTCAGAAATTTCGAGAAGTTTTCGACATTTTTATTTGATTCGTGCAATGGTTAGATCTGGCATAAAAGCTATCAATCTACAGCTATGACATCCATGTACTGTAACATGTAAGTGTTTGAGGCGGCTAGGCAAGATACGGGGGCATTGTGTTGGCAATGAAACCGCGTTCAACATTCTTTTTGTAAAAGACAGGACTTAGCCTTCAGCCTGGAGGAAAGTACTCGAAAGTGAGCGAGCGAAAATGATTTTCACCAAAGTTCGTGCCCTCCTCAGCTTAGTTTTAGAGGATGCTTTTGCCGCCAATACACTTGCTCTGAATTTAAAGGTGGAACAATCCAACCATGCCTAAGACAACAAACCATTTGGAAGTATTCTTCTTTTTTCTGCAGAAACGAGCGTATTTTCATAGTGCTTTGAAGTTGGATACTCCAGGTTTCAGAAATCAGCAGGCAACAGCTGCTGTTTTTTGATTCACAAAAAACAAGATATTTCAAAAAAATTGGAGTCCACTGCTCTCATCGATCCTCATTCATCAAGCTTTTTTCCACAATTTTAAACCACATACTAATGTTGTCAAAATGCAAATAGTTAGAACTTCGAGAAATGAGCTCAGTATCTTTTTTGCAGTTCCAGTTATTTCAATCAAGAATTTGCAATGTGGAAATGATGACAAAGAAATCATCACTGATTAGTTTTATGCCTAAATTTTTTGGTTCAAACCTTTGCGCCGAATGTAAGCGCCACAATATAGGGTGCCGAAAAAAATCATGTGATAAAACGAAAAATACCCAGACTTTTTTTTGGTTCACTAGACAAGGACAGAGCAACAGAATGTTGTTGAGTCTCTGCCTCCAGAGCACTAGTGCTTTCCTGAAGACCTCTCATGATACATCGTCGCATTGATTTCCATGACTTGATCGATAAAAATGAATGGAGGGATCGCCAAGCACTGCCACTGATACTGCTCCAAATTACCAAACTCTAGAATTTAACGGAATTCTTGCAGGTATTTTCCAATTTACAAATGTGCCCAAGGGCTAAGCAAAAAGTTGGAGGTGATTCCGGAAGTTTTAGCTGCTTACATGGGAAAAGTGCTCCGTCAAACCAGAGGACTCTCCAGCAAGCTCAATCGTCCGTTGGTCAAAGTAAAACATTGGGGTGCCGACATTCGATGAACGGAAGAACAGAGGGGGTCCGTATCGGCAAAGTCGAGGCAGCGTAATCCTACAACCAGGCGGGTCGTAAGCGTAACCTTTATTGCCGTTTCATCTTGTTGATATATTCCTTCCTCTCGGCGGCTGTGTCAACTGGTCTCAGAATCAAAGTAACATGGTATGGGTGGTGGTCTTTGTTGGTTTACCTCCTGAGTCTCATGTTAGAGGGTCGTGGGGATTTCCAAAAAATAGCAACCCCGTGGTGGGGTGGACTCTGATTGACGAGGCAAATGGGTAATCTATGAAGGGGTACTGAAAAGAAACACTATGGCTGCTCATGGCGTGCTAAAGTTCTATGTTTTTATATGAAGTTTTATCCAACTAAAGGGTAATTCAAAAAGTGCAGCGATGACGTACGCGCAGCCTAGTCACTTTTTTCTAACTATGAATTTCATTGTTTTTTGTGCATAATGTGGTACATGAATATGCCGACCGTGATCGCTGGAGACAAGCTACAAAGTTTTACGCCAAAATTCAGTTTCCGAAGAGAAACAAACTTACGGAAACCACACTCTGTAGGGTTCACGGTAGATCGCGCGCGGTGGCCAAAGGCGACCATTGTAAAGAATCAGATTGAAGCGTGCGATTTTGAGAGTGTATAAAACCACCGATAGTCTAGGATGCAGTAGAAGTGTGATTTTTGTGAATGGGAATGACCACCTGAACGATTACTGGTGCAATAGAATGACGGATAACAAACAACTGGAGTTCGGCCCGAATTTCGGAAATACATATTTGTAAGGGCTCACGAAAGCCGAGCTACCAAAAATGATATATTCACTGTCGTCAATTAGTTATATCACCTCCAAACTTTCAGATATTTGACGTAGCCGAAATTCTCATGGGTAGGCGCAGCTACCGTCGCTCCGAACACAAGGGCACAAGTCGGATCACTTGACTAGTAGTGAGAATTTGATTTGCTGAGCATAGTCTCAAGAAAACGCGTTGCGTCAATTCTTGTGCCATCTGAGATTGACTCAGAAACTTACTTTTCTTTGTCTAATGTCGAGAAGACCAAATTACTGAGCTTCGAAGAACGTACGGAATCGATCGTAGGCTTACATGTGGAAAAGCACCGAATGAGTGGAGAACTCCAAATACCTTGCGAGCGATCTAGCCGCCGACGGCAGTGTGAATCAGGCAGTCAGCGCTGCAGCCCGCGTGCATCGCCGGTATGCACATCTACAGGGTGGCTACTAAATATTGGCGCATGGTTTATTGATCATATTTCCAAAAAGAGAAGCTATCATATCTTCAGAAGTTTATTTTCATATACAATAAAACATGAAAATTCATTACCAAAGAAAGTGCTCGAGATGGCCTCCTTTGGTAGCGATACAGGCTTGAAGTCTCTTTCAACTGACATCACCGTGGGCCGCAAGTAGCTGACGTCGGCGTGACGTGAGTAGATCTTCAGACCAGAAGTGGCGCACGATTTGCAAAACGACAGGCAGTTGTTGGATCTGGCTAGCAGACATTCTGCTCGACCTTGTGTACACACAAGGAACCGTATTTCAAATTTGTCATGGTTTGGGCAGGAATTACTTCTGAAACCATGACACCTGCTTGTCTTGGTTTCAAAAGGTATATAAAGACAAACCTCTAAAGATGTAAAAGCTTCTCGTTTTAAAAATATGGTCAATAAAATCCATGCGCCAATATTTAGTGGTCAACCCTGTATTGCTCCCTACCTGATCCTTTTTTTTGTACTTCTTTGCTAATTCTCGTTGAATTCTGTCGGAAATGTGTGGGCATGTCGACAACTTCAATTTTCAACACAAACAATCAGATTCTAATACGCCTACCTACTGAACAAACTTATCATCAATTACGAAATTTGCATGCAGTTTGCGCTTCAGACTTCGAGTTTCTTTGGCAATCAAAAACAAACTATTATCGGAA